AGTGCACTGCTTGAACATTTATGCACTCATCTTTGGTTCGTGAACAGCTACATCCCTCCGGAAACGAATAGTTCGACTGACTTTTTGAGGTTGAGTTGCGACATCTGTTGCCGAACTTTCTGCACAGGAAACATGGGTTTGATACTTATTGAAGTCGACGTCAGCTTTAACAGAGCAGACGAGTATTGTATCTTCCGAATTTTCACACCGTAGCAAGGTCACTAACACGAGGAATTGGTATTGATATCAAATGACAAGGCTGGGAGCACACAACTTTGATAGACCACGTTATTGTTTTCTACAACTGCACACCTTTCACCGACTGCTATAGATTGTCACCGATCATTAAAATAATCGCATATCCACGACAGAAGCATAGAATCGTAAGAGTTGTTGAAGCAGAATCTGAGCTGCCGTGAAAGTGCTGAAAGTTATTGTAAAGTGGAAGAACAGTGACTGGAAATCCTCCATTATCCATATAGCGACCGAGAGATCGACAGGCAATGCCATCGCATCACTTGCTCTCCTGGATCATCCTTCTATGCGAACTGCTACTTGACAAGTTGAAACCAAACCTCGTCGGAAAAGTTTCGTCATATAATATGTTCAAAAACGCATTATTCCTAGATCAGGCTTCATGGTGTATTACACCACCCCTTGCTCCTAGTTGCCTTGATGGTGTTAGGAGGTTGATCATGTAAGCAGACCAGTAGTTGTGGTATTTGACGAATGCAGTGTCAGGTAAATATCGCATTATTTTGTCCGCTATGATCACTTCGCGCTCGTTACGAACGATGTTTCAGTAGCTGGTACTCCCCTTACGTGCTACTTTATAAACATAATTTATTCGTACGCCGCAGTATGTCAAGCAAAGCATTACTCATCCAAGACCATATTTCATAGCGTATTGTACCGCCCCCTTGTAGTTGCCTACTGGGGGGAGGGGGGTGGAGAGAAAAGGGACTTTTATGCAGGCCCCGGCTCCATGATATTTGAGCACCTGTAGTGTGAGATGCATCATGCATCATTTTATTCGTTAGAGCCTAATATATTCACTGCTTTCAGAAGAACCAAAAGTGGTGCGATTGTTTCGATAGTGCCTAGGAAAAGTGGGGCAACAACTTAATTGCGGAACTGACGGTGATAGTTCGTCAGTGATGAGGAATACGCCCATCTAGGCGTTTTGTTATAGGTGGCTGTTGCTGGTTTATTTGGTACCCCTGCTCCGGATTTGCACTCCAGTGGTTGGACGCCATTCTCGTTTTTGAGACATTGCATTATAGATTAGGAGAAGCAAGCACGAACCTGTTGTTCGGAGAAGTTCTTAAAGTGTTCATTTCGTTCCTTCTGAATGGTCAGACAGGCGATTATTGCACTATATACATTTGAAGATTTGCATTATTGTTCATGTCTCAGAAGCTCAAGTTTTAGAGCATTCAGATCACGAGATTGTTTTAGTAAGCGAGTCTTATATCCGCATATCGCTAATATTGTCCCACGACTCCTTTGAGAATTGCAGTGGTTGTTAACAAATGGGAACATGTAAGGTCTTGAATATTCGACAGTTTTTCTTTGTGTTGATCGTAATCACTTTCATTTTACAGCAATTATTAGTCATAAACTTTCTCCGTGTCCTGTTGTCCTTATCCTCTTTTTCCTTATTGTGATGAAGTTTAAATAAAGCGCATGGTTCGTTTCTAGCAGGTTTTCGACTGAAACAGAATTCGACGGCGCATGTCATATAGGAGAAGACGGCACAAACAACTCGGTAGTGAGATCTTTAGATAAAAAGGCATATCAGTCGGTTGTGTTTACTCAAGCTTGCATTGTCAGTGCAGCTCCCGGTGGATGGTTATAGGAGTTGGCTTGCAGCATCGAAACGGCAAATCGTTTGGGTTGCAAAGAACGCGGATGAGGCAGTGATCAGAGTTTATCAAAGACGCGTGCTTTTTGCGAAGGAAGTGGACTCCGCGTTTCCGGACATGTGGTTAACCATGCTGTTTAAATGAAACTATTTGACTGTACTTCTCAATCCCTAGGATGTCAAAAACCGATGTTCTTGTCTCCAGTAGCAACGGGTAGATTTCTTGGTGCTACTAAGGTACATTTTGTTGCTAAGGAATCGATGAACAGCTCATGCGAGACCGACAGCCGGATAAAGAATATCGACATAAAATTCAATAATTTTTTTTGGGCATTGGATCAAATAAATGGTCATTAGTGCCTCCAGAAAAAGACCTACGAAAAGCAGGGCAGCTACTCAAGGACTTAAGAAACTATATTATGATACATTTGCCGCAATTTTTCTTCGTTGAAAGACGTTCAAAACCAAAAATGATTAAAAAGTTCTTTGGCATATATGATTCTTCTTTTTGGCGAAGGTTCTGCGCCTCCTCCAAGACGTAGGTCCCTGAGCACCTGTATATCGCCTCAGATTTCGTCTGAGATGCCTACTTGCAGATCCAAATTCGACATATATTTGGAATAATTAAGGATGAATATCCAATAAAAGGTCCGCAGGGATTAGCAGGAAAAGAGTCGGGTGTTATCGTAATATGGATCCATGCAAAACAGCAAAAATAAGCAGCGGAAATATGATAGGGGCAACAAGAATGAGTACATGTCTACTTGCTTTGCTGTATTGTTTATCCGTTTCGATGGATATTGCAATCGTGGGCCGCACCGAGCTTAAAGGTATACATGTCGAATCGTCGAAAATCTTCGATGCAAGTCATACTTTGGAGTATCTTGTTTCTGCTTTGGTGTTTTATGACTGTACTGAGCATTTGAGCCATTTGCATAAGTAGAGCGACCCTGGTTTGTGAATTCCGCTACATTCTCGAGTTTTCTGTACTTCTGCTAGAAGGCATTGGTTGCTGCATCATATACGGAACAGTTCCTTTCCAAACGCGGATCTGTCGCTCTCTTGTTCATTTATGGCCCGTTCTACTCGACATCTACCGTGTTTTGGTTCTCAGAAGCTCAAGGGTTGCAGAAAAGGAATTTTTCAAGTAAGTTTTTCTGACAACTAGCCTCTTTTTCTTAATCTCTAGTTGACGAAGTCCCTTGTGTCCAGACAGTAATGGTCATCGTTACGTGATCATTTGATTTAAACCTCATTTTGGGTCGAAGCCTGTGTGGAAATCTCATGTAGCGTATTGGCACAGTACCTAAGAGGTTTATTTCGAACTTCGGAGGTGCCGGGTTTGATTCCGCTCAAAAGCAATCTTTGCCTTATTCACGAACTCCCTTGAGCAAGGAATTTACCACGTATTGCTTCGGATCGTGGTTGCTCAGTCGGTAGTGCGTCGAACGGAGAACCGATAGATCCCGAGGCGAACCCTTGTCGAGGTCATTCATCCTTTTTCATTCCGAGACTGGTAAATGAGCACCCGACGCTGTTGTGGGCAGTTCATTTATCGTTCTTGGTCTTTCGCTAGGACAGCTGTCTGCATAGGCGGATTTTTGTTGAAGGGCTTGCTGTTTTTCAAACCAGTTATTGGACAGGTTACGAATTCACTTGAAGCAAGGGCCTTTTACTTAACTCTAATTCAATGGTACCATTGTTGAAAAGAATGGTACTTAGGTACTTAGGCTAGTCAATATCCTCTACTATTTCACGTGCCTGTTGCCTTTGCAGATCTGTCAGGCTGAATTGGTTTTTCACAGCTTCTTACTCCTGAACGTTCAGGAAGAGATCAGCTTATGCACCTTTGTCATATGCTAAACCGTCATTTGGCAAAACCTGCTTTCCATATTACTCGCTAAGACAATGTAATCTGCATATTTCAGTTCAGCAGTATGTCTAGCTGGGTATCTTGAATTGTGCCTTCTTTCTAGAAATAGCAGCTTCTTGCCTACTTCCACAGTGTTTCGGAAGGAAAGTCAAGAACAGTGTGTTACAGCCTGGACATGTGTATATCTAGTACGAATTTCAGAATTAATAGGGAGCCACTCAGATCTTAATTCAAGTTCTTACCACTCAGTTCTTAATTCACCTTCGATCTTAATGGCGTGCATGGTTTCTGCATGGGTTAAGTATCGCTTATCATGTTCAAATTTGCCACACAGTGTATTGAATTCAGTACATCTTTACAGCTGATGAAAGTAGCGGATTAAGGCAACTTGAATCAACTGTCATTGCCTAACAATTCAATTTGAAGGCGAGATTACAGAACTCTGAACAACGCCCTGTTTGTGTAGTAGCAACGGATCTCCTTTTGCTACATGGTACAAATTGAAAACGTTGTAAAAAATAGTCGCGCTGCCATATTCTCGTGTTATCACAACAAATGTATTAGCACGCACACGTATCAAATGTGCATATAAACAGAAGACGTACATCATTTTCAGGAGGAAGGCAAGCCTCCAACACGTCTGCTGCTAACCTGGTAACTGGCGTAAACCACGTAAGGTGGGCTTCCGAAACATCATTGAAGAAAGAAATTAAACAGGCGCCTCGTACGGATGAGGAATCTTTCTTACGTCGACGCAAGAAACACGTCTTGATGTCAAAATGTTGAACGTTGCGATGAGCGAGCATCACGTCTCTAAAGCAAATTACCGTTCTGCTGTGCACTTGTAG